TTCATTAATTTGGGTTTTTTGCTTTAGTTTCACCTGGACGATCCTGCCAGTAACACACTATTTGCCCTAGGGTGCATTGTTCCTCTAGCAGAGAGTATGTTAGGGCTACAGTACTGCTCCCTCCCCCTCTACTTATCTCCTTAACATAGGCAGGGATGTTCTGTAGTTACAGAAGTAAACTGGGCAAGGCTGATATTACTGCTTAGAATTTCAGTGCAGCACAAGATGTTACAAGCTTACTTGAATAATGGCAGATAAGAATGTTTCTGTACTTGCAGCAAAAAGAGCCAAAACATAAGGAAATGTGCATACATACACTTTAAACCTCAAACAGATGAGCCGAAAACAGTAGATTGGGCTGTTCAAGACCTAATTTGATTATTGTTTCCACATGGTTTTAGAAAAAAGCTATGCAATATCAATACTGATGTTATGCTGGAGGGATGGTAAATTCCAGTGCTGTATTTCTGTCACAGGAGCCTGAAGGCACAAAATGTTTGGCACCTTAATTAACAACACTGTGCTAGAATTACCTCTTTTACACAAAACATTTACTCTTTTCCTGGTCCTGACACGGCTTGGAAAGTTGTGATAATGTATAAATAACTTTTTATGAGATGCCTATTTCTGCTGATAATGGCAAAAGATGTGTGGCCAAACTTGTGCAGGGAAAACTTCTCTGCCTCTGCCACCTGTAGGGTACATCAGACATTTTGTTCAGTTAATTCCCCCTTGTGCATTACTCTCTTACTTAAGCCTGGTGCAGCTTTGGCAACTACATTTGCAAGTGATCATTTCCACTAACAATATTATTGCCATTTTTAATTTATATTTTTCCTTTCTACAGGATTTAAAACCCCAAAAGACGTCTCACACTTTATGTCTTTTTATAACCTTGTGCCAACTTATGTTATGATTTTGAAACAATTTTCACTAGAATATGCCTTCAAATACTCTTTTCTCTTGGTGGAAATGAAACTTCTTACCCCAGTGCTCTATGCTTGCATGGAAAAGTAATGGCCACACACCTCATAATAACCTTCCTAATGCAGCCTTTCTGTATATTGTTAAGGAAGAGGGGGTGGTGCCTGAACACGTCTGTAAGATGCAATGTGGTCAAACTCTGATACCTACTGGACTGCACAGTCATATTTACTCACACACTGCACAGCTGCTACAGCAGAAATGGTAAGCCTATGTAAATGGCATCCATCAATATTTCTTTCTATTTAATTATCTATTTCTGTGATTTAAGTTGGGGTTTTTGGCTACTCAATGAGATATTGCCCAAACATAACCTCAGCTACCCATCAACATATTGCCATCACATAACGTGCCTTGCAGCTTGGATTTGTCCCTCCACCCCTTTGGACAGTGCACCCTGCCTACACCATGCTTACATAGCTTAGTGGGGCAGTTCCCCATTTACTTACCATTTACAGGGACACTAATGGCTTGAATTTCTCTGTAGGTACTTATTAACCAATAAAGGGAAGGAAAGGTATGGCACCACTAACATTGATAAGTGCATATGGCAAAAAAGCTCTTTGTAAGTAGTGCTGAAGGATTAGGTGGCCGTGGTTATGGCTACCTGCTCCTTTAGGACCAGTCTCTATTGCAGCCACTGCCACTGCAAACTCCATTCCTGTATCACTGCACTTCATTCTTATTTACAGACTGCTACTTAGCTCTTGCTATATCACTGTCATACATTACATGCAATATCATATCCTTTTCTGTTTGCCACCACAGTCTCTTTAGGAAAACAATAGTCTGACTGTTCAGGAAAAAGACATTGCTTAGCCACCCATCAGTCTATTTTCTGTATAGAAAAATTGTATGGCTGTTGGCATTTTATTCATTACCTCCCACTCTGTTTTTCTGAACACTCTCCTTTCTCTGAGAGGTAAACCAAATTGGATCAAAACATAATGAAAAAATGTAGATGGCTTGTCAGCATAGCATGGTAATAGGTGATGCATAGAAGCTGTCCCTAGTAATGTGTTTAAGCTGCCACTACCACCGCAGACTTCCTTCTTTTCCGACAGGTTGTCGTTTTCTGTAGTCACACGGTAGAGCCATTATTTTAGCTAAAAAAAAAGTTATTTTATGTTGATTAGTGGATGCAGCCTACAGATTTTATTTTATATAGATTTTTTTTATTTTTCAAATAAAAAGCTCTGGCAACTGCAGACTAATTTAAAAAATAAGAACAATCCCATGCATCTTTCAGGCATTTTAAATATAGTTCACAATAAATGTATTATACAAAATGCAGCTTAAATTTTAGATTGTGCAGATCTTTCAGAGTATGTTTTAACATTCTCAGATGTGGGCTATTATATGTATAATTTGTGCAGTTTTCATAACCATAATTTTAGAAAGATACAGGATACAGTAATGCAGGAACACATACTGTATGTTAAGCTGAAGTCTATTTAAAAAAAATCCCTAGCACGGGACAAAAATAATGAATAAAAAAAATACAGCTCTCGCTGCGATATTCAAGTTAAATCTGCACCCATTCCATGCAGTAATAACTTTCCATCACCAGATATCGCCATCCTTACTGGTTGAATGACGGCCACTGTCATTCAACTAACTTCCGTTGGTCCTGTCTGTCACTCACATATTATGAGAACAACATTCTGTGCTTAAGGGAGCAAGAATGGACCCGTGACATGACCGGACTGGCCTGAAGACCCATGGAAAAGGGGTATGCATACTTTCCTTTTTTTAAAGTGCAGGAAAAGACCCTCAGGGTGTGTGTGTGTGTGGGGGGGGGTTAAGTGGGTGTTTCCTAAACTGGAGTCCTGCTTTTAAAATTAAAGGAATACATTTGTGCTGACTTTATAGACATGTGTAAAAGAAATCGGCTTGACAGACATAACTGTTAGACATGTGCGATTCGTTTCGGACGAATTTTTGGAAATTCGGAGATTCTGATGCATCCGGATTCCGAATTACAGCTAAGACTAATGCAAACAAATCCGAATTCCTGATTTCCCGAAATTCGTCAGCGGTAGTCCGGCCAAAATTCTTTTATGGATGAAATTCGTTATTGGGGGGAACCTAATGCTTTTTTTTTTTTCATCTTCTGCAGACTGTAAAAACAAATGTATTTTTTTTTCCTAATGTCATTTTGCTGCAACAAAATTCGTTATTGGATGAATTTCGTTGCAGCAAAATGACATTAGGGGAAAAAAATTACATTTTTTTTTACAGTCTGCAGAAGATGAAAAAAAAAACGTGGGGTCTCCCCTAAGAGTCCTACCAGACCCTTGATCCGAGCACTGGCCCGGCAGGGCAGGAAAGGGGGGGGCGATCGAGCGCCCGTCCCTGTGCCTTACCAGGCCACATGCCCTCGGCATTGGGGGGGTGTCCCCAAGGGCCTCTTCCTCACAACCCTGACCCGATGGTTGTGGGGGTCTGCGGGCAAATCATAAATTGTAATGTAAATGTAATGGAAGCATGAGAACTGTGGTTCCTAGCTTTAAAAATGAAGAACAACAGCTTCAACATCTACCAGGATGTAAAATAAAATAGCAGCCTCAGAAGCCTGCTTAAGAAATGATGTCGCTCTTGTGGGCACAAAATAGCTAATATACACTATCTGATGCAAAGTAGATCCACCACCCTGTCATTTAGCCAGTATGGAATGTGTATCCTTTAGCACATGCATTGGCAAAGCTACCAATGAAAAATAAATTCCACGTGCCCATAAGTTGATAATAAAGTTCACTGGCATATTTTTAGTTTTCTCATTCTCACGTTTATTTACAGGTGCTAGAGGAGGCGGAAGTTTGCGTAGTACCCGGCGGCCTGGCAACAATGAAGAAACACTTTGAAACATCAGATAATGTGTCGTCCCACAGCGCTGTCTCTCAGTATCAATATCAACATAGATCTGTAAAGGTAAGGAAATAGTCAAAGCCATACAACCTGAGGAAAACTGCAAGAACTGATATTTTTGTTGTTTTTAATCCTCCCGGACTAAAGATAGCTTTACCATTTCCCTGGAAGTTATTATTAAAGCTTATCTCTAGGCATACTCTTCCCCCACCACCTCCTCTAAGATTTCCCTGCAGTACAACAATAAAAACAAATCTAAAAGCCCAAAATACTAACCTAAATCCATAAGTGGGATGGGTCCTTTTATGGGTGACTATGTCGATGACTGTGTGGCCCGGACACTTTCTGTTGGCTGTTCATCACCAGGGTCCTTTTGGTTCAAGACCTGCAGAGGAGTGATGACATAAAAAAACACCCATGGGGGCAAAACAATTTGGTAATATACTTTTCCCCAACTGCTCAGCATTCCCAGGATCTTGTTGATGTTTGGGCTAAATCAGCAGACCCTGTTTTGTGTGGAAGGTTCACTTTAATCAGATAGAAAATTAACATAATTCAACAGACATGAGTCCAATTTGACTCTAGTTTAGTTACAAAATGGCTGCCTCCAGTGTGTACATAGGTAAACAAGTACAAACATATTTGGAAAGAACTCACACAGATCCACTTTATTAACAGCAAAGAATAATTGACCTGCGTTTATCTTTAAATAAAATATTTTTTGATAAACTGAATCTTTATTCAGTGTGACAGACTTTCACAAGTTCACTATGCCGCATCCTGTCAAAACTTCCAGCATGATCATAAATGTATCTCTTAGACATGTGCGATTCGTTTCGTTCCGAATCGAAATTCGGACGAATTTTCGGAAATTCGGACATTCGGATGTATCCGAATTCCGAATTACAGACATAACGAATGCAAACTAATCCGAATTTCCATTCCCGAAATTCGGTAGCGTTAGTACGAACGTTCGGTTCGTTTTCTGTTCTTATTCGTTTCTTATTCGTTTCTTATTCGTTTCGTTCATTGGAGCAAAGTGACATTAGAGGAGAAAAATATTTTTTCTCCCTCAAATGTCACTTTTGCTGCAAACGAACGAAACGAATAAGAAACGAATAAGAACAGAAAACGAAACGTTCGTACTAACGCTACCGAATTTCGGGAATGGAAATTCGGATTAGTTTGCATTCGTTATGCCTGTAATTCGGAATTCGGATACATCCGAATGTCCGAATTTCCGAAAATTCGTCCGAATTTCGATTCGGAACCGAATCCAAATCCGAATTGACTTTCACACCCGAATCCTGAAAAACGAAATAACACATATCCGAATTTAAAACGAAACGAAACTAAACGAATTTTTTGGCAGTGCACATGTCTAGTATCTCTTAACCACACAATTAGCATTTTTCATTATGTGCTCTACATAGGTACCTTGATGAGCTTTATTACAAGACTATTCACATATTCCAGAATCATTATCTTCCTCTGTCTCTACACTTTAGGAAGATGCATGATAATGAAGCAATAAGCAAAAAAATTTACTTCTATGTGAATCAACATTTACTTGCTGAATAATGTAACTCTATGTACCATCTATAGAACACGATGTATGGAAGGATTTTAATAAAGGCCCATCTATCAGAATGGATTGTTTGCTTGAGTGTTTGCTCTTAAAGGAGAATTACAGGGAGACTGAAACACACTATAATTAGAGCCGACGTGTGACACCGAAGCTGTCACGCGTCAACTCTATTGATCGAGAACTGAGCCATCCTATGCCGCCGATCACTCAGTTCCTGATCATCTCCCTGCACAGAGCAGTGACTGTCATTCACGTCTCCCTGCAGGGATTTCCACTGCCCTCTCCGTTCCTCCAGCGCTGGCTGGAGGAACAGACAGGGGAGGGGACGGGCACAGCTGGCTCTGGCTCTAGAGATGCAGAGGCAGCTGTCAATCAGGCAGTGGGGTGGATCTCAACAATATTGTCGGGATCTTTGCCGGCTGCAACACAGCTCTGCGCTGTCAGCCCGCTATTTGCTGAGTTTTGGGTCACAGGAGAATATTAGTATATGTTCTCCTGTGACCGTAAAGAGAACTATGTCAAAAAATGGTTGGGCCATAGTTCTCTTTTAACATTGTCTCTGACACTCTATTTTCAAGTTTGTTTATTACTGATTTATAGGTGTTAATAATTAGGACGTTTCACGTCAGCCCGGGCTCAGAATAAGTGGGTTTACCCTGGAAGAGGAGAACCTAGTGGACTTTATATGGTGGGCAGTAACAGACTGAAGCTGGCTATTGCAGCAAAAGCTGTTTTGTTATGTAAACAAGTGTTGGCCAGTGGATTTAACTTTTTTAAACTGGATATAATTACTTTAAAATGTCCATATATACATAAACTGAGTATAATTATGATCCATCCATACTTGAATCTACTTTGTCCACAACAGTATAGAAGAGCGTAGTGGGAGTTTTTTTGGATTAGGGATAACCCTGACAATGATTGTAATATTGGCTGATTGAAGGCATTTGTAGTCCTCTTAGACTCCAGAAATAGGACCACAACACACTGTTTTTTTTCTCTTGAATGTCAAAGTTGCCAGATTATTATTATTATTATTACTACTATTATACAGGATTTATATAGCGCCAACAGTTTACACAGGACTTTACAATACAAGGAAGACATTAAGATTATAACACAATTCAAGACAAGATGGTAAGGAGGGCCCTGCCTGGGAGAGCTTACAATCTTCAATCAACTTTAATAATAAGGGACAGCTTGTGAGTCCTGGCCCTTATAAGTCTCTTGAACAGATTCTTCAGAAAAAGAATAACATTTTGAACAGATTCTTCAGAAAAAGAATAACATTGTCTCAACTTTCCCTCATTATTTCTATGATATTCAGCTCCTGTTGACTTGCATGGAGAAAGGATAGTTGTGTTAAGAAAGCTATAGATGTGAGGATATGGCGAGACTTGGAGGAGACACCTGTTGGGTGCACTTTTTAAAACAAACCCCTGGCCCCTTTCCTTTGAGCTTTTTAGAAACAACTACAGTAGTGCCTTTTGTAAGGTAGTTTAGGATGTCAATTTATTCACTGTTGTTTTGTCTTTTTTTCTGAAGAAGGTTGGTCCTAAAATGTATACCCTAGGCTAGAAGGCTCACTGCTTCTGTGAAGTAAACTATAGGCATAGGCATCACTATAGACAAAGCCTTTTTTTGGGGAAAAGTATAATAGGAAATTTCACTCAAACATATTGATGAAAAAGTAATTTCAAAAGAGCTATGTGGCCTATTAATTCTAAAGACATGTTTAACAATACTTATACTATTTGTACGCAGAGTCCAGCTGTGACACAAAATTGCCTCTTTTTGAAGCTTGAAATTTAGAGTGTACAGATTATAATTGTTTACAGCATGTAATGCAAGGCAAGGATCAGTAACTTTCTGTGTCTATATACATCTGACTTTGTCCTACTTCCTTTCACTTAATAGAACCACACTTGAGACTGAAGCAATAGCTTGTTACGTCTACTGCTGTAAACATCTCAAATTTTAGAGATACATTAACATTATGGTGACATCCAAGCAATGAGAATTTCATAGAAAAAAGTGCATCTCCTTGATTAGTAAACCTTACTGCAGAATAGCAGAAATAGTATTAATATCAGCCTTTCATGAATTTCCCTTTATATAGAACTATATAGAGAGAAAAGGCAACATTAGGATCATTCTGGCAATTATTGAACAATGCCCATAGCAAGACTAGGGAACGCCTTCATGTATTCATTGTACAATTTATTTTTCTTTCATGATTCCACTATTGAAGGATAAAAACATCTCCCATCCAAATGGTTTATTTTAGGTTTTTGTTCTTGGAATCTCTATATGTCTGGGTGATCAAATTGTTATAGTGCTTTTGTACCAAATTCCTAAAATTACACCGTGAATTGGGATAGGTTTCTAGTTTTGGAAATATTAATCCTTTAAAATGGCAAAACAGAAAATGAGTCATTGTTTTCCAATAAGTCGGAATAAGATACTACAGAGCGATTGACTAGAAGAGCTAAATTGTTAACATACATCTTCTGCTGCTCTTCTTAGATAGCTAGTTGTATAAGCTTACTTAATAACAGTGAAGAGTGCAGCTTATTTCTTGAACCCATATCATACAATCAGGTGGACAGGAAAAGGTAAAATTATTGCTGTTGCATGCTGTGAATTCCTGCAAAACCCTATGAATTGGCTAATGCATTTGAAAAAGTTTAAATTTACAGATCATTACATTTACCTTTATCTATAATAAGTGTTTATTTGGGTTGCTTGCATAACCCTAAATCAAATGTAATTTTGAAACTGAATACATTTAAAGATGAACAAAATTCACAATATAAAATAAAAAGTAAATTGTTATTTTCTGTGGCATTTTCCCTGTGACAGACTACATCTTATGTGGCATATCCCTGTGACAGACTACATCTTATGTGGCATATCCCTGTGACAGACTACATCATATGTGGCATTTCCCTGTGACAGACTACATCTTACGTGGCATATACCTGTGACAGACTACATCTTTTGTGGCATTTCCCTGTGACACACTACATCTTGTGTGGCATTTCCCTGTGACAGACTTCATCTTATGTGGCATTCCCCTGTGGCAGACTACATCTTATGTGGCATTTCCCTGTGACAGACTGCTTTTGTGGGGCATTTCCCTGTGACAGACTCCATCTTGTGTGGCATTTCCTATGACAAACTACATAATTTCCGGAAATAATCTGGTCTAGGCGGCAGATTTCCATGTCTTCTGCAGCCCCAAAATGATTTGGAGAACGATATTTTACCTTCCATACTGTGCATTGGGACACACATTTCAGGCACACTTCATTTGGTGTGGCATTTCCCGTCGACATAAATAAAATTGTGTGTGTCTATTTCCTGTGACATACAGCAGTCTCTGTGGCCTATAATGGCCCTAAAGTGACACTAAACTCATCATGGTACTGACACTGTTCTTCCTTCTGGAATGTGGCTACTTTTGTTCCCAAAG